ATACGGGTATTTGCCACGCGATAAAAAAGTAGAGCTTTTCGATTTTTAAGTCTGGGTTTTTGATATTTTCTCTGGGATAGATATGGTTTTTGTCTGGTTAGAGTTACAATTTTGTCGTTTTCGTATGAATATAGTGGTTGGTTGGGGAGTTTTAGTCTGAAATTGATGCTGCAGTTTAAGGAAGCCCTAAATCGACGAAAAGGAAAAGAAAAGCGAGTCTTTCTTGTTCCTATTTTTATAATTAATGTTTCCTATTTTATGATATATATAATTTAAACACCAAAAGTTATTTGCTTTTACATATTAAAATATGTAAAAGGAGGAAAAGATTCAATGATATTTGGTCATTTTTTCAGCACCAGTAAGTTGTTGGAGTTATTGTCACTGAATATAATCCTTTTTGGCAGTGGTGGTTATACTGAGTATGCATCTTGTATGCAATGATTTCTGAAGTTGTTATTATCTAATCCTGTTATTATCTAATCCTAATCCCCTGTACCACATGATGTTGTTTCGTTGCCTGTTCTTTCTTCTTGTAGTTTTTATTGTAGCTTTTTGATACTTGGGCGCTGATTGGCTGAATGAGTGCGCATTTGATGATAGGGAGGAGAGTCGTTGGTTGATTCCTTCAGGGATGTTCTTTGTCACAGTYGGTGGATGATTGCTATCTCTGTGGATGTATAATAGGTACGACTGATTATTGAGATTCAAAGTGACGTCGAGGAAATTAACAATTTGATTGTTGGATTCGATGGTGATGCGTAGACCTTGCTTTGTAAATATATTTCATATTTCTTTTTTGATGTTTTAAATTTCTCTGGGTGTGTCGTTAATGGAGGCGAGACCATCATCTCTATAGAGACCTAATTTGTCACCGAGTTTGGCCTGTAGTTGTGATAGGAGAAAGAAGGCGACCAGATCGCAGGTTTCGGCGCCGTCGTAGTTATCCATTGTTACGCCAAATGTGCTAGTGCTTTTCTTTTGCCATAGTTGTTGTTTGTAACTCAGGAGGGAGCTCTTTGCGTGGATGATTGTGTGCCTTTTGTCATAGGTGATAGTGATAGTGTCGTAGCATTCGGCAAAGTCTAGGGCTCTGTTTAGTAGGTTAAGGCTTATTGACGGGTAGAATTCAACGATATCAAAGCATATAAAGCTGAACTTAGGCTTGTTCTTTAGAAGGTTGAACAATGACATATGACGTGTGCTCTTCCATTGTTTAATCTTTGTGGTGGTTATGATTTTAGTGTTCACTCTGTCTTGTATTTTCTTACTGATTTTCCCTATTTCGGATTTAGTGGGATTAATCAATCTGCCATGTACGTAGGAAATATGTCTCTTCTTATGTCCCAGCCAGCTTTAAGTCACAACTGGTTGCCAGCAAGAAATTCATAGAAAAGAACTCTCCAGGAAAGGAATACTTTCTAAGAATTTTTGCCAGGAAGATAAAACTTTCTTAACTAAAAAAATATGAGCAGTTTTTGTCCATAAAAACATTACATAAGCCATTTTGACCTATATATGAAACGCTTGCAAGGAACAAAATTATTTTTAAGAAGAAAGTGCGCCACATTTGCTTCTGAGATTGTCAACAATGTAGCTCAAAATCCTTTTCCCAGGAAAAAAATCGTACAAGAACAGTTATTTAGAAGAACAGATCCTGTCGGCTCCTCCATGCACTTAAAACAGCAACCACGAAGTGTTGGATCTGGAAATGAATTATAAACAAAACCTTGAAGTTCAACACCACTTTCAGATGGAAGTCCAAGACGCGAACATTTGGGTTGAAATTGTCGACTGTGTTGAAAGAGTGAAAGCACGACAAGAACCGATGTAGCTTTGGCCATGAGTGGTAACTTTGGGTGCTTTTTATTTAGGCAGAACTGGCCGGCCAGTCCGCTCTATTTAGAGGTATATGACTGTTCTTATGTCCCACCAGCTGTAGGTCACAACTGGTTGCAAGCGAGAAATTCAGGGAAAAAGAACTCTACAGGCAGGGAATCCTTCTAAGAATTTTTGCCAGAAAAATAGAAAATTCCCAATATAAGCCGTTTTTGTCCTTAAAAGGGTTTGTCAGGAAACAAAATTATGCTAAAGAAAGAAGGGCGCTAGCCTCCTTCGCAGGCTACTCCATCGTAAACGGACATTTTTCTCTTCTTGGTCTTCCTGTGTTCATATTCTTGACCGAGAAGAACTGGTGTCGAGAGATTAGGAACAACGAATAAGAGGAGTAGCCTGCCGAAAATCGAAGTGTATGGACGAGTGAATTCACCCTGTGGACATCTGAATTCACCCCGGGTACCCTAGGGAGATGTTTTGTAAGCAAAATTACTYGGTAGATACAGTGMCKAGCKGTGGTCGTGAACTACAGTACAGTTCAAGTCAAAMATKTCTCGCTATAATTTCACTWAAGTTCCTGTATGTAGTATTGAGCATAGAAAGCTCAATAAAGGAGTTAAATCTATCGAATTTAAGTCCAGCGAAGTGGTAACGGTAAATGAAACAAGCTTCATGTCACACGACGGTTCAACTAAAATATACACTAGAAATTACTTGAAAAGCAAAAATATATCGTAAAATGCAAACGAAGGGGGTCAACAAAAATGACTACTTGTCAGGGCAGGGTTTCCAGAGGCTTGTCTTTAATTCATTTGCTTACTCAGCTTATGTACTATTGAGCCGCGAAGCGCCAAGATGTTTCCAAACCGATTAACGGAAACATCTCACCGCTTTCGCTGCTCGATAACATTTGTTTAGCACGCAAGAAAAAAAGACAAGCCTGTGGAACACTACCAGGGTAGTGAATCAGTGTCATTTAGCCGACAAAATGCGATTCCATCCAAGTACAGAATACAAAAGAACTGACATACGTGTACAACGACGCGTAGGTCAACTGAGGTCGAATTCACACGAAGTAGTTCTTCGTGAATTTGATAACTTTTTACGTTTGTAGAGTGCAAAAAAACTCATGATTGAAAGTTTTCTGTCCTTTGGAATACAAACTTCAACACATCTGAGTTAGAGTTTCGAAGAACTTCGACCGATGCGACGTTTCGTAAACCGAGATCAAGAAGGCCAAACGAATCCTTCAACGCCGCTTCGTAATATCCGTAATGAGAACTTGCTTTTACTTGTCTTCGAAGAGTGATTAAACAGTGTATCTTTATGAGGTACTCGGATTATAAGCAGGCAAAGTAGAGAGTTTTTCTAAGAGACTTTCAAGTTTACTATCTTTAACACTCAACCGCCATTTGAAAATTATTAATTTCTGAACTACCAGAGTATACTAAACAGAATTTGTTTGATACAAATTTTTCTACCTTCCCCCGCTTGGTAAATTTTAGTATGCGCAGAAAACATGCGCGAACTGTCATCTAGTTGAAGTTCAAATCCGGCAGGCAACTCCTCCTGCTTTTCCTTCCTTCCTAGCCCCTCCCCCTCCGGCAGCTTTTTTTGCCTTAACAAAGGAATCCCACGGAGTAGAGTTGCCTGCGAAGGAGGATAGAAGGGCGCCACATTTGCTTTTGAGATTGTCAAAATATACCTCAAAATCCCTTTCTCAGGAAAAAATTCGTACAAGAACACTTATTTAGAAGAACAGATCCCGTTGGCAACTCCTAATTTATCGAACAATTGTCTTAAATTAAAAAAATGTGAAGATAAGAATATGAGGACCGCATGATAGACACGATATAGAAATGAAAGAAAGTTATAGTGCTTAGAAGGAGGCAATTCCGGGAAAGAGACCCTTACTAGGAATAAATTCGGAAAAATAAATTTCCGTCCTCGCTGGGATTCGAATCCACGACCTGCGGATTTGTACTACCGATGTTCTACCAGCTGAGCTACAAGGCCAGACTGGGAGCAGGTCGAGGTGAAAAAGATGTTAGGTAGGAGGGGTTTTCAAATTAATTACACTCAGATTGTTATAATGAATCTGAAGTTAGTCGTSGTCAGGAGCTTTTTCTGAAAACAACTGTACTTGCATTGAATATTTCGTGCAGCTCCAAAAAATTAGAACATACAAAGGGCGCTTTCCATTTGTCAGAACTGGCTGTCCAGACCCAGAGAAAATTTGTACATCATTCCTATTTAGTTGGGAAATTCAAATTTTAAATTCTATACATTATTCTTTAGAAAACCTCGTCCTGATATATGCTTTTGTGATTTCTATAAAAAAAAACTATAAAACTGCTAACGAATCAAGTACAGAATTGCTCAAGAATCTATCATCAACCTATTAATCATGAGTTTCMATGGTAGAGAAAATTGTTTTAGATGCCTTTAGAGTTAATTAAAAACAAATTCAAAACTGATGACTTCTGAATACTGCAGTGCTTCATATTTTCCAAAACTGCATAATAATATCATAGTATGATTATATTTTTAAAAGATAAATCGGTTTAAATGCGTGGAAATTTGGATCCATCAAGTAACTCTTTTCTCAGAAATTAGTACTTTTGGAAAAAGTAAGAACGTAGGACTAGTTTTCTCATGTAAGCTATTGCCCATGTACAGTTTCTTGATGTCATTGTTTCTTTTTTGTGTTGCCCCGAACGATTCATCTCTGTTTTTCCACTATTTTCACCCTACTTATGGCAATTAATTGTGTGCAAGTGTCGACGTGTTGTGTGGTAGCCTTTCAAAGGAGTAGCACGCTGTCGGTCGTCCATGTTGTTTTAACGATCCAGCTATTTCTTGCCAGCAGTGCTGTTGGCTGTCATAATGTGATGCATAATAAAAAAATCTTGTTATGCATTTTGCTGAGCTCATAATCCTCTCTGGCTGATATCTTTGTCTAAATCCAGGGTTTAAGTTTGATAGTCCTCTTCATGGCTAACTGCGCCATCTTGAAAAGTATCGAAGCGACACAACCGTTGGGCGTACAATGATAGATACCCGTGAAGAATTGTCTGTAGGTGTGAAAGAAGGTTTCTATCATTACACGCTCAACGGTCGTCCCGCTTCGATGCAAGGGCACGGCTACCTTTCAAGATGGCGCAGGGAACCGTGAAGGAGACTTCAGACTTCCTAGACATCAATGCAGTTTTTTACTTTAACGAACAAACAATTCCCAAATGTCCCCAACATTGAGTGCTCCATAGGTATCTTCAGTAAAGTCATCACAATTATAATTCTGGCTGGAAAAGAAGTACTTGTTTTCCCATATAATAACATTATTGTGTATTCGGCTGTTTCCAATATCGGTATATCTTCCCCATCGATTCACCTCGACTTTTCCACCATTATGACCCCACTTCAGGCAATTCTGTGCAAGAATCGACGTGTCATCTGGTAGTCTTTCAAACGAGCCACACGCTGTCGGCCATGTTGTCTGGACGAAGAAGTGATCCAGTACTTTGTGKCCAGCGGTGTTGTTGGTTGTCATGATGTGAATGGTTCGGTTGATGCTCTTCTTAMGACATCGAAATCGAAGCTGATGGAAACCCATGTCTTGTCTTAAGACTCTCAGTCCTGCTAATCTGATCCGTTGCCTGTAATTTGTGTAGCTTGCAAGGGCCTTATACTCTTTTTCTAGCACAAATGGTTGCGGAGCTGTAGTCGGCAGTTGTGCCCTCGTTATCAATGTCCAGCCTCCTATTAAAAAACGAAACAAAATATATAGAGATGAAGTTCTCATCAAGCAGGCCAAACGAGTAGAAGTTTGTTTGTGTTTTAGGTATTTTGTTTTCAGTAACAACATACATGGCTAATATTGAAGGATGAAGTAATGGTTCGAGCTGCGTTGAATAAATGTGTAATGAATATAATCGTCGCAGTAGAAATAATAATATACATGTACACAATTATTAATAAATGTATGGATCACACGAAATTATTTTTACTATTGAAGGGCTAAGAGTCATCTCACGAAATTCAAGGAGCTTTTCTATAATGGGGAGGGTTAAAAAATGGGATTACATGACGAACCGCGTCGTTTATGCATTATGGGTAATATGCAAAATTTCTCATCTTCTTCTTCTTCTTCTTCCTGGTACCCCGTCTCTTTCTAACTAGAAAATCCTTACGGGGGGTCTTAAAACAATAAAAAAATAAAAAATAAAAAAAAAGCTAATGATGAAGTAGCGAGACTCATTACAGTCAAAAGACATGAAGCGCGCCCCCAAAGACACCATTATTCAATTCATTATTGGATTTTTCATTGKATTTTTCGTCTTCAAACTTTAGTTGGTTTATGCACAATTCAATTCAAATCTCGAACTCTATTGGAAAATGGACTACACAATAAACCCGCACCGAATGCCCTTCGAGACGAAATAATAGCGTAATAGACCGAATCAAGGTTTACCGGCGACATCTTGGAAGGGGTGCAACTAGACTGGGGCGAGCGCGCTGCCAACCATACATTCTCTTAGAAAAAATCGTCTTTATGTTCTTTATGTCGACTTTATTTAGCTTTCAAGGTTAAGTTTCTCCGTTTAATTCGGATATTACTGCTAGCTCAGGTAGTTATAAGCTCAAGCCATGTATAAAACACTGGGAAACGGGCAATTATCGAATTGTACGACAACATCGCAATCGAAACACTAGCACGTATTTCTTCCCTGAAGCAGCTCAGTGCTTCGATTTATACTCCTTTGGTACTGAGGTTCTAGCTATTTGGTTGTAAATTTACAACTTCAGATCGAAGGCGAGATTAATGCGAACTGGTATAAGGCGGTCTCAGAAAGCTATACCGAAGAAGGGGAAATTAAATCAAGTACGAATCGTTACCCGTGCGGATAGTCTTCGTCTCCTAGTCTCTTCATGTTATACATGCTTGGGTATAACTTATCGTCATAAAGGGCATTATAACTATTCAAATGAAATTGTAAACATTGAAGACTTGTGGATCCCGACGATATAAAGTCTGATAAACATTAGAACGATTTCGAGCTACGTAGATTTTACACAGAAGAAAATGTCACGCGCCGTCACACGACAACCGGCCATCGATACGGTATTCAACATTTTAGTGTGTTCCATTGTTTCCATGGCTTGTTTGGACATAGATATCAATTTATATCAACAAAAGATGCTAGCAAACCGATTTTAACGGCGAAACGTAAACTTGAAAGCTAAAGAAAGTCGACATAAAGAACTTGTTCACGATTTTTTGAAAGAGAATGTATGGTTGGTCGCGCGCTCGCCCCAGTCTAGTTGCACCCCTTCCAAGATGTCGCCGGTAACCTTGATTCGGTCTATTTAACCAGGTTTACTCTAAAAAACGAAATAGCACGTGGTTTACGAATATCAACGAGCTCCGTTAAGAAAATTACACGAGAATTACAGCTTTTTGCTTGGGACAGTCATTCCTTTCTCACTCAACCAAAGTAACAGACAGCATATTGCATTGCATCGAGTTGATAAAGATCCCCAACAAACCGTAAACTATGCAGTAATTATTTCTAGTAGGCTTGGAAAAGTATTGTTAAAACGCATTTTAGTTTGCAATGCGAAAGACATGGTTTTGGTGAATAACGCTATCATTCTTACATTAGTTGCCCGAATAAAGACTATTCAAAAGGAGGTTCAACAGAGCTTCGTGATCATCTTCGTGATTACAATACACCGAACTGCTGCCAGATTTAGGAAATTAAAAAGAATGAAATACGGTTAAAAAACTTGATTTATAGAATACCTCCATCAGTAGTCATGTCACAGTAGACAGTGAAGGGTTGTCCAGWGTTCCCAGGATCAATCCAGTATTCTCCATCTCCACGAGAATCACCAAGATCTTTGATTTCCTTGCACGAGTGACCAGCAARAAGAGGATYGGAACCCTTCTTTGGCTTTGCTAAATGATATCAGAGAGACATTGAATTAGTCAACTTTTAAGTTGAAAGAAAAAAAAAATAGCGGCAAACTGACAATAGATCAGTTTATCAATCACCGAACAACCCCARCTAGGCGCGTAACGTGGACGTTTTGGTTAGTACGCACATCTCAGGGTCCGCGACACATATTTTGGATCTGGGCGTCTAACGACCGCCAAAGGCTGGAGTATTATGGGAGTCTGGACCTCCCCAAGGAAATTTCGAAGTAATAACTCTTGGAAATGTAATTTCCAGCGTTTTGAGAGACATCCGGGGCATATAAAAATAAGAAATATAAATTTTACGTGAATTTAATTTTTCAGTAATTTTTGTGAAAATTTTAATATTTCCTTATACGCACGTGCGTATATACGTAAGGGACGCTACGCAYCTGATAAGCTGCGCCTTCGGTCGACACAGAAACCATGTAAATTCCGCTCAAAAATTAGCAAATTGAGTGTACAATTCTTAGGTTTATTCAGGATTTTGAGGTCCTTGCAGCACAAGGAGCAAGTATTGATAAATAAGGCTTGCTGAGTCGTCGGCAACATAAAGCTAGTGAGATTTACATCTTTTGGTAAAAACTTTCACGAATAGCCTCGAATTGAGTTGCAATTTTTTCGTTAGTTTAGTTGTTTGCTCTATGCCGCGAAAGAATAAAAATGATATTTTCGGTTAGACGCTAAGATTAATTTAAAAAGAAAATCATTAGAAAACATGTTTTATTTTCCTATGGTATTTAATTGTACGCAGTCATTATTTATTGATTTCCATCAGAAACCTATAAGGGACTTGAAACGTGTAGCACCGTGCCATCCGTTGGAATATTCAAATCTAATTTGCATCTCATTTCCTTATTTGGAACAATTCCAGGGGGGATCCAGTTGGTGGATGCAGGGGATGCGCACCCCCTACTGAGATCTGTATCCCTCAATACTTTCCTTATTTTGTATCAGTTCATTTAATGATTTTTTGTGTGGGTTGCATCTCTTCCTGAGAGCCACTYACCCCTCCCTGAGGAAAATCCTAGTTCAGCCCCTGAGTTTAATTTACCCAACCAACCAGAACGGGCCTTCAATCTCTTATCCAACGTTCGAATTTTCCAAATATGGTCATAACGTTCGTTTTCGAATTCTTAATGAGCTTTGAATATTCCGACGCTTGGTACTAAAGAAATGTACGGGTGCTAGAMATTTCAAATCCCTTATAGGTTTCTGTTTCCAAAGWAGACAAGCATTGATTTAAATCACGAAAATGTCGATAAAAGTTAAAGGATAATATTTTATCTCTTTATTTTATAACTTAGGAGCGAATCATCACAAATTTCTTATTAAAAAACAGTAAATTAGGAGAAAATTTGTGGTATTTTGCTCCAAAAAAAAAGGAACAGATGAATTAATATCAACCAAAAATATATTTTTTTTGGCACCACAGGAGCGCCCAGACTATTTGTCATCGTTACTTGAAGACAATGTATGCGATCTGCACTGCATGAATGGAAAGTGGAAAATTGTTATTTATTTCGAAGTAATTATACTCATTAATTAATTATACTTAATTATTATATAGCGAGAATAATTTCATAATTTCACGATTTCATTGGCTAAAAAGCGGGCCGTACTTTCGCGTACGGACCAGAAAAAACGAGAAAAACTTTTTAAATCATCAAAAAAGCTCGCTTTCTTTCTTTTTAAGCTGTTTTAATTATCTTTATCTTTAGTTTCTCCTAGTTTCTCAGCCTTTTCTTTTTTCTTTTTATTTTGAATGACGAAAGAAATGTACCAATAAAAACGTATTTTTATGTCCGATTCTCTATTAATTTTAGCTATTTTTCCCTGAAAAAACTACATAATGAAGATAAAATTAACCTCGCTTGGTTGAGCCGTACGGGAAGTTGTGGAACCCGCTTTTTTCCCCACTTTTTTATGGCCCTCGCGCTACGCGCTCTTGCCATAAGTCAGCGGAAAAAATCTCAGTCCATAACCTCTCGTACGGCCTTCGCGCTCGTTTCATAAGATATTCGTATATTGTCGAAAATGTGTTCTTCAAACGTATATATTTGGCTGCAATGCCTTCTTAGCTGTGTGCAACGGACGTATCAGCTTTTGATTATTCGATGATTTCTGATGAATGTATTACCGCGAATGATGTGACATAACTCTAGACTTTGGGGCGAAGTGTTGGTAATTTAWATAAACTCTGAAACGGTATKAAAACTTTCTRTTTCTACAACKAAAGACAAAAAAATTGAACTAAGATTAAATGAAATWTGACGTACCTSGTTTAGGTTTTTCCATATAAACACTGTGCTCGTTCTCCTGGACATTCYYAGGCCGCAGTCTTCTGGTGTCGTTGTTGAACTGGCAATGAAAATTTTGAACGTCGAAGTTGATAGACTGGCAAATACSRTCTTCCATGCAGGATAAAAARCAAGTACTCAGATTCATGTCYGAAAACGACTTATAAGAAAACCCTTGAAGTTCGATACCAMCTTCMGTTGAAGCGAGAATCGAGAATGGCTGGGATTTCACAWAGAGATGMCGACTGTAGTGAACAAACGAAAAAAAGACAAAAATTGATGCACATTTTGCCATAGCTGTTATCCCGTTTTCTAAACCTTTTAGGAAAATCTGTTGAATTACACACCTGAATGATGTTCTATTATGCTAACGGTCAATTAAGAGAATTGCAACCTCCTTTGATACCCAAAGGTAAATAATATGTTTTCTCATAGTTTAGTCATGAACCCGCTGTGCTGATAAGTGTGCGATTTGCCAATTCAGCTTTTTGATTTTTTTATCATGAATTATTGACATAACAAACTTGACGCCCTAAATCGCCGAAATGCTTTTTTTCTAATTGATATTTTCTATTTTGTAAGTATGTATTTAAACAACAAATGCTCTTTGCTTTTAAGGTATCTTAAAAGGTATCTGGATACAGTTGTTTAGAACTCCGACAGGGACGGAAGAAACGGATAAAAAAAGTAATTTAAGTTAGTCAAATCGTAATAATATGTTACTAAATGATCACCAAGGGATTCGTTAGGAGTTTTGTAGTTTTTGTTTTGGCAACTGTTAGACCAAGAGAGACATGGGGGCGAGTATTGGAGAGAGAACTTAAACGGGATACAGAAGGCCTGTCGAGRAGAATTTTAAATTTACAAGATGCATACTTAGTATATCACCACTGCCAAGAAGGATTATATTCAGTGAGAAGGACTCCAACAACTTAATAATGTTTAAATAATAACCGAATATTATTGGACATCTCCTTTTAAGGTATCTGGATACAGTTGTTTAGAACTCCGACCGCGAAGTAAGAAACTGATAAAAAAGTAATTTAAGTTAGTCAAATCGTAATAATATTTTGCTAAATGATTACCAAGAGATTCAAATTCACATTGAGTAAAGTTTGTAAAAATCGGATTTTATTTATGCGTTTAATGGGGAAATCCAGTAAACGCTTTTACAGATATTTCAAACGAATTAAGCCTATTTTTTCCGTGATATCTCAGGGACATAATATTAGAGGTAGTGTCTAACGATTAGTAAAGTTTGCTGGAAATTCATCGAGGAAAGATAACATTATGTAGGCCTTAACTTGGACTCTTGGAGGAAGAATTTTCAAAGAAAACGAGCGTGTACAAAATAAAAAAATTACATTTTACTTTGTATCAAATACGTATTGACCGATATCTGGAGGAGAACCTCCATATCATATTGCTACGTTCTTGCAGAGTTTCGGCAGTGTACACCAATTCGTTAGGGAGTATTATGGCCCTGAGATATCGAGGAAAAAATAGGCCTAATTCGTTTGAAATATCTGTAAAAGCGTTTACTGGATTTCCCCATAAAACGCATAAATTAAATCCAATTTTCACAAAATTTACTCAATATGAATTTGAATCCCTTGTTAATCATTTAACAAAATGTTATTACGATTTGACTAACTTAAATTACTTTTTTATCCGTTTCTTACTTCCCAGTCGGTGTTCTAAACAACTGTATCCATACCTTTACATGCCTTAAAACGAGATGTCCAATAATATTTGGTTATTGTTTAATCATTATTAAGTTGCTGGAGTCCTTCTCACTGAATATAATCCTTCTTGGCAGTGGTGATATACTAAGTATGCATCTTGTAAATATAAATTAGTCTCCTCATGCCTTCTGTATCCCGTTTAAGTTCTCTCTCTTTACACTGGAAAAATCGCGCGCATTAAAGGTTGCAAATTTGATGTAAATATGATGTAAGTGTCCAAAATTCTGTAAATTTGATGGGAATCATTTACATCAAATTTACAGAATTTTGGACACTTACATCATATTTACATCAAATTTACAATCTTTAATGCGCGCGATTTTTTCCAGTGTTATGTCTCTCTTGGTCTCTAGTATAACAGTTGCCAAAACAAAAACTACAAAACTGCTAACGAATCACGTAAAAAAATGCTGAAGAATCTATCTATCAACTAATTAATTAGTAGTTTCAATGTTAGGGAAACGTAGTCTAATAGTTGCCTTTAGAGTTAATTAAAGAAATTCAAAACTGATGACTTATGAATACTGCAGTGCTTCATATTTTACAAAATTGCATAATAATATCAGAGTATGATTATATTTGAGATAGATGTTTAGATGCTTGGAAATTTGGATCTATCAACTCTTTTCTCCCAAATAAGTACTTTTGGAAAAAGTAAGAACGTAGGACTAGTTTTCTCATGTAAGCTATTGCCCATGTACACTAGTTTCTTGATATGAAGTCATTGTTTCCTTTTTGTATTGCCCCAAACCATTCATCTCTATTTTTTTAGTCTTTTAAAGGAGTAGCACGCTGTCGGTCGTCCATCTTGAAAAGTAGCCGTGTCATTGCATCGAAGCGAGATAACCSTTGATCGTGCAATGATAGATACCTGTGAATAATTGTCTGTAGGTGTGAAACAAGGTTTCTATTATTACACACTCAACGGTCGTCCCGCTTTGATGCAAAGGCACGGCTACCTTTCAAGATGGCGCAGGGAACCGTGAAGTAATGTTTAAAGGCCGACAATGAGGACTTGACGGGATTTCAAAGTCCGCGCAATTAGTTCCAGTCCGAGGCGTTATCCGAGGACTGGAACTAATTGCAAGGACTTTGAAATCCCGTCAAGTCCGAATTGGAGGCCTTTGAACGACTTCAAAAACTCATTAATTATTCGGGAGGGGGAAAAAGCGAAGGAAATACATATAACAGAAATATATTGATTTATTGCATCTCCACTAAGGTTTTCAGTTTTCATAATTTTGAATACATGAAGCACCGTTTGTTGTTCTTCAATTCCCGGACGGCTTTCTGAAACAAAAGCTATTGAAATTGTCTTTGTCTACTATTCATGGCATTCCTAATGAGCATAATCCATAAGATTTATAACAATGTTATCTTCCGAGGAATCGCATCAGAAACTCGGTGGTGTAATGGTATAAGACGGCGCATATAGACTGGACGGTAGGAGATCGAGTCGTGAGGGAGTCATGTATCAAAGACCTTTTTTCACTAAATTAATGTTAAACTGATTATTTCTAATAATTTGATTATCATTAGCTAGTAGTAGTTGGAACCATGGTAGAAGTAACTGGAAATAATGTACAAGTAACCTGAAAAAGGTAGAAGTAACTGGAAATAAGGTAGAATACAAGGTACGAGTACTTCCTCTGGTTTCAAAAAAAGGTAGAAGTAACTGGAAATAAGGTAGAATACAAGGTACGAGTACTTCCTCTGGTTTCAAGTTACTTCACGTGGTACAAATTACAATCAGGGATTGGCTGAATACCTCATGAATAATTAATGAGTTTTTGAAGGAGACTTAAGACCTCCTAGACATCAATACAGTTTGTTTACTTTAACGAACAAACATTTCCCAAATGTCCCCAACATTGAGTGCTCCATAGGTATCTCCAGTAAAGTCATCACAATAATATGACTGGCTGGAAAAGTAGTACTTGTTTTCCAATATAATAACATTATTGTGTATTCGGTTGAATCCATAACCGGTATATCTTCCCCATCGATTCACCTCGACTTTTCCACCATTATGACCCCACTTCAGGCAATTCCGTGCAAGAATCGACGTGTCATCTGGTAGTCTTTCAAACGAGTTGCATGCTGTCGGCCATGTTGCTTTGACGAGGAAGTGATCCAGTACTTTGTGGCCAGCGGTGTTGTTGGTAGTCATGATGTGAATGGTTCGGTTGATGCTCTTCTTACGACATCGAAATCGAAGCTGATGGAAACTCATATCTCTTCTTAAGTTTTTCAGTGCTACTAATTTGATCCGTTGTCTGTAATTTGTGTAGCTTTCAAGGGACCTATACTCCTTTTCTAGCACAAAGGCTTTCGGAGCTGCAGTGGGCAGGTGAGCCCTCGTTATCAATGTCCAGCCTCCTAGTACAATAGAAAAAAATGAAGTTAGAGATAATAGTTTAGAAGTATTTGGGTAATCGGACTCTATTGTTAAGGGATCGGTGGAGCTGTTTTTTGTGTGTTGTGGAGTGGTGATTTTGTGTAAGAAATATACGTGTATATTAAATATAAATGGATTGATCCTGGTGTCATGGTGTCATGGTAGTCCTGGTGTCATGGTATGGTGTCATGGTAGACCCAGTTTAACATTACTCATCCGGGGCTGAGATGATAAACTGTTGTCATTATGGTGGATGACAAACGTGTTTCATACTCCAAGGCCTTAGAGCTCAAACCTACACGCGGCAACCATCATATCCAACATAATGACAACAGTTTATCATCTCAGCCCCTGATGAGTAATGTTAAACTGGGTCTACCATGACACCAGGATCAATCCATTTATATTTAATATACATTTATATTTCTTACACAAAATCACCACTCCACAACACACAAAAACTAGCTCCTCCCTTAACAATAGAGTCCGATTACCCAAATACTTCTTGAAACTAAAGCATATAAGGCTAATATTGAAGGGCTAAACTAAGAGTAATCTCACGAAATTCAAGAAGCTTTTTTGCACAGGGAAGCTTCAACAGAGCTTCGTGGTTATCTTCGTGATTACAGTACACCGAAATGTCGCCAGATTTAGGAAATTGAAAGGAATTCAAAATGGTTTATATATACCTCCATCTGTGGTCATATCACAGTAGACAGTGAAGGGTTGTCCAGTGTTCCCAGGATCAATCCAGTATTCTCCATCTCCACGAGATTCACCGAGATCTTTGATTTCCTTGCACGAGTGACCAGCAAGAAGAGGATTGGAACCTTTCTTTTCTAAATGATGTCGTAAAAAAATTAAATCAGCCTACTCAGGATCAAGAACCGACAACTAGATCAGTTTATGAACCATCAAACATCCAAACAACAACCTGCCAGAGCAAAGGTGTGCGAAGAGAACACTTTACTGATT